GAACTCGTGATCAGCCTAACTGGTGCTTCTGTCTCACGTCTCTTCATTAATGGAAGGATTCAGAACATGCCACTTTAGTCTAGGTGTTATCAAAATTTGCAACCAGCCCCTATGGGACGCAGCTGGCAAGTAGCAGGAACTCGTCTCAGAATTCAGTAGTTCAATTTTGGACAACCACACAGAGTTATCTGCTACCTGTCAGCGTTCACATTTTAAGCTGTTTCTGGCCTACAACACCCATCAGTCAGGTTTTCATCATGACATTGGCTGAGAATCTTTATCTTAAAGATCCATTAGTTGTTTTTTTTTTTTGCAAGAAGTACCAATACAAATGAAATTTAATACATTTATATGCTTAGAGGAAAATGAGGTATCCTGAGTAAGACTTCTGATTTCCATTGTTTATTTCTACTAAAATTGAGTAATTATATTTAAAAACTGAATTACTGTAGGGTGGATAGCTGGCAGTTTTTCTGCTAGGTTTGATGTTGTTGGGAAAAATACAATGTGTTTTCTGACTAATTTATTCACAAGCATTTAATTAAGTAGGTTGATTGATAGTAGAAGAATTAAACGGAAAACAACAAAAAATACTTATAAAAGTATTTAATTAGTCAAAATGGGAAAATATTCCACTTCATGGGTTTTTTTGTTCATGCTCTGATTTACATAGTCTATAAAGCTATAGTTCAATAAATGTTTTTTAAACAATGGTGCTACCATGTTTCATTTCTACGGGCGCAGCCATTTATGTGGCTGCGTGGTAAACCAGATTGGTGTGACGCAGATTAAAAAGTAAAGAAATGTTTTGCCCTTTCTTTTTAAGCCAGCTTTGTTCCCACACCCACTTTGCTGCCACACAGACAATTCTACCAGCATAAAGAAAGGATTAGTGAAGGTAGAAGAAGGTACATAGGTACTAGGGAAAACTGGTATTGCTTAAGTGTGCTCAAGTAATATTCCCACCAGAAGCCTAAAGGTAGCTAATGGTACACTTAAAGTAAGCTTTAAAGTTAAAATAAGGTAAACAATAAAGTTTACTTTTTTGATCAAAGCATCTGGTTTAATGAGTTTCCATAACAAGGCTGAGTAAATCAATCTAGATTTTAGATTTAGACCAGAAGAACAATTCAATATTGGACCGAATTTAAAATGAAAGCAGAAGTAGTTAATCTTAAAAAGTTACAAATAAAAATGTGGAAAAGGTGATTTATTAAAAATACCAATATCGTGTGCTGAGAGTGAGTCTGAGTTCTATTAATAAAGACAAAGATTATTGAATTTTATAGGTCCCAACTATGATCAATAATACGATGGATTTGTATTAGAAAGACTAACTTTTTAGAAAGAAAGCAAGCTTTTAAAAATGTATTTTGCTATTTTTAAAGTATTTGTTTTTGCAGTGACTACATTAAATATTTTTGAAGTAACTGCAAGCAATTTACCAGGGAGTTGGGAGGAAATTAATGTCCTCTACTGTAGACATTTGTAAAATGGAGGTCTGAATTTAGTTAAAATTAATACTGTCCCAATTTAGATGTTGAGGCCCATATTCACTGTGTTCTGTTCCTGTCATAGGTAACAAGGAGATGATATATATCCAGTTAGACTTAATCTTTGGTACCTTGTCCTCCATAATTATCAAGGACCCTTAAACTTTGAGTTTTCTGCTTGAAAAAAAGTTGTTTCAATTAAACAATAGGAAAAAAAAATTCTGACAAAGCGAAATGGTTTTTGTCATTACAAATTTATAAATTAATATTTTAATTTTGATTTGAAAACTTACAGAAAATGAAATTTTCATTCTAATCCTCTTTTAAATACTGTTTTTTGATATTTTTTAACTTAACATCCATTTCATGAATATTTAGAATAACACGTAAATTGATTTAGTTTTCTTTCTGTTCATATTAATGAAAGAACGACAATAAAAGAAACATTTGAATTCTAAATAAAATTAAAACTTTCTTCAGAAAAGGAGATTTTTTAGATAGTAATTTGAAGTAACTTTTTTTTTGGGTGTTCTAGATGAATCTTGCTGTTTTCTGTAAAAGGGAGGAGAGAGTTTGTCTCTCCTTTTAAGCCAGTTCTTTTATTTAAACTATCAGAGCTTATTTTTTAATAATGAAAATGAAACAAAATAACACTTTAGGGCCTTCCAGAAGAAAAGAGACTGTTTAAGAACAGTGTAATTATTAATATAATTAATATATGATAGAACATATTTTATGTAATGATTCATTTATAGATAGATTTCCATCTATCTTCTGATATGGCAAATAGGTTTTGGGAGGGAGAGAAGGGGAAGATGTTGGCAATGAACAATGATGAACAATCTTTGAAAATTCTGTAAGAATTTCACTCTTCTATGACATATAAAGTCACAGTTTGATAAAATTATCTTGTGTGTTAGCTAGCTTATTTTATGAAAGCGAGTACTTAAAAATTAGTCTTTCCTGGAATTTTTATTTGAGATTATAATTTGATATATTTACTTTGCATTAACATAGGATTCCATCTGAATGCACGTCCTATTTAATGATTTGCCCCATGGTTATTTTATTTCTTCTATTTAGTTCTTGAATAGTTTATCTCTTTAAATTTAGTCTGAAGCATAATATTTACAGCACTGTAGAACAATCTTATAAGCTTACAACTAATCTGTTCAGTATAAATGAGGAGTTCAACAACGAAATTTATACCTGTAGCTGATAATAGCTACTTATTCGCAAATTTGATTTAACTGTACTTCTTGGGGGACCAATTGAAGTTATTTGAGCTGATGTTGATAAATTATGATCTGACATTAGCAGCAGCATCTCTAACTACTTTTCCCTGTCACTAATTACAATTTTGCAATCACACTTAATATCAAACAAAAGTAGGTAGGTAAAGGCAATTGAGGAGGTATAAACTCAAGTAAAATAAGTGCTAGTAAAAGAAAACCATTTTGAAGATTCGTAGTGTCTTCAACACTACATGGAGTGGTTACCACTGTTTCAGTTTAAGATCAGGAATTTTTTTTCCAGTTTGAATGTTTTTTGGATTTGTGGCCTGGCTTTTGGACAATAACTTGCTTGTTTACATCAGCCTGGCTGATGTCTGAAGGTACTTAGGAATGAATAAGGTTACCTTAAGAAATTTAATAATTTTCAATATACAACAGCCTACTTTCTTTCTTAGTCAGTGTGGTGTTGATAGTTGTTGTTCGTAGGGTATATAACATATCCAAAAATACTGTCTCAAGTTTAAAACCCTTAGTAACACTGACTGAAGTGTTATGTCTATAGCAGAGCGTTGTCTGATTTGTGAGCAAAAGAGTCAGCATTCTTGACCACTAAGACAGACCATTGTATTCCAAATACAATCTATCCTTTTCTCTTTCTTGAACTTTCATTTGGTTTATAGTATTCTTTCTGTAAAGGTAGAGACCTTTCAAATATACACAATTTGTGCCCCTGCTTTCATGTGTTTGATCTTGTAGAATGAAGCTCTTAATAAGGACAGACTTGAAATAAAGGTCTGAAATGTGTAACCTGGTGAAACATTTTATGCTTCTGTTCTTTTAAATTATTTCTATGTCAAGTACTGGTGTCTCCAAATTCTTCTTTTGCTAATGAAGATAGTGGACTGTTCTGAACATCGTTATATTACTGTCATAACAGTTCAGTGTTGCAAACCTTTTTATCTTTTAATGGTAGCATTTTTGAAAGAAAAGAACATTTCTTTATATTATATTGTTTATGTGTTTATAATATGTAGGAGAATTTTGATCGTCTCAGATTCTGTAGCATATTGGTGGGTTTTTTTCAACTTAGGAAGCGTCAAACTTGGTAAATAATACACTCTCTGGATGTATAGTGAAATAAAAGCTATATAATTTGTCCTGTATGAGAAAGCATGATCCCAGTCTATCCGAAAACCTTGCCAGTGGCTGAAGTCCAAAGAGTTCCCTAAATTTGGGAGCTTGGGCCTGAGACAGTAACAAAACCAAAGAAAACTAAGCAATAGGTATTTTTGCATTAGAAGTTGGAAGAAACTGCAGATAACACAGTTATGCCATCAGAGAAGGCATGACTCAGTACGTGGATATTTGTGACCAGATTGCTCTCCTTAAAAAAGGATCAGCTTCTATGTGTTCATGCTTCACAAAGCGCATATCATCTGGAGAGCAAAGTACCGGTAATTTGGTATAGACAGTGATTTAAAACATTTAGTTATTGGTATGTCAGTAACTTTTTTAGAGAATATCTCAGGTTGAGAGTTTTCAAATGACTGTATTCTTCCTATGGTTTATTATGATGCTTAAGAACAAAAGTCTGTTGTTTAAATGCTGTGTTGACTATGTAAGATATGGAATTCTTCAAATAAGAAATACTAATAAGTAAACTATATTTACTTTCTTAATCAGTTTTCTTTTAAATAAAAACATTAGAAATGTAAAAAATAATCTAACATTGTGAGGCATAGGCCTTTACAGTACAACTGTAGAAGTAGTGATCTGTGCTGCAGGAATTGAGCTGTTAGCTTTCATTTATATTGCATTTGTGCCAAGTAATTTAATATGACCTTAAAGAAATTTAATAACCTTTTCCTTCTTACGTGCTTAAACATTGCAACTTTAAAGGATTCACGCATATTTTCCTGAGTTTCAGTAGCCCTATGAATGTTACGCCTATAAAAATAAAAACAATTTACATGTTTAGGTTCCTAATCTGTGAGGTTAAGTTTAGCTAACCTGCTTTCCCTTCCATTGTGATGAATACTCTTACATGCTGTATCAGAGTGTATGAATAGTAGTTACAATATTCTAGGTGAGATTTTTCATGTTTTCAGCAACGGCTCTGGAAGAGAATTATGTCTGGGAAATTCTACGATGTTTCCTTTTTGTGTTCTTTCCTCAAGTCAGTAATTTCAAATAGTCATCATTTCTATCTAGAATAAAATCAGGCATCTCAGGGGAGAAGAGTCTAATTCATCTTGCTCTGTTTTTCAATCAGGTGAAGTACCACCAATGAGATGGATAGTAAATTTTGACCGAGATCTTCTAGATGGTCTGGTATTGGCAGCACAGCTGGCAGCTTATTGTCCATATTTGGTAAGGACTTTTCTTAATATTGTGCAAGTTTTATACAGTTTATTAATGTAAGTGGGTTTCTTCAGGCCTTATTTTCCTTTGGAACTGTTGGCTTATGTGGTTTTTAAAAAGGAAAAAAAACCCAACATTTAGCAAGTCTAGAGTGATTATTTCAGTATTACTTTTTCTTTTCTCTGGGTATATTCTTAATAGGGAACTTTATTTCAAAATTTAGATCTTATGGATTGCTGAAAGATTGAAAATACAAACATAGTAATTTTGCTTATTGATAGATGAAGAGTTTGATTTCTCTGTCTTCTCTAGGTTGCTACTCACTTTGTAAGGATGTATACTAATCCAAGAACTCCTGAACAGTTTTTGCACAACTGTTTGATACTTGTGAATGCTATGCATGCTGTCAGTCTGGCTATAGACATAAAGGTAAACTATTTTATACTAGCAGTTCTTAGATACTTTTAAACTTTTTTTTTTTACTTTTATGATAGTAATATAGTACATCAAATTAAGGTGAGATTTTAGTGAAGCATTTTTGTTTCATGATGTGCTACTGTGTGATGGAAACCAAAATACTGCTTCATATAAATACACTTAATTACAGGTAATTTCCATAATTCCTTGCTTTGTAGAATCGCCTATATACAACCAGCTGAACAGAAGATTAATTCAGTTCAGATTCTAGCATCGTAAATCACACAATGAAAACCTGAGTGGAATTTATTATTAACATTCTAAGGCAATTTAGAAAAAAAAATATTTAAGGACAAACATAAAAAGGAGTGGTAAAAAAAATTATGTGAATGTCTGGTGACATGTGCATCTATCTAATCATGAAGGCCCACGAGGTTCTGTGCCAGGTTTGATGCACACAGAAGCCAGTAGCTTTGGACTGCTCTGAGGGTAACACTGTAAGCCATCAGCTTCTGATGTCCTTTTTTGGGAGGAATATGATGTTGATGTTAGTTTTTTCTTCAATCTAGGATCCACTTGGGATCATTATATATGTTTAGTAACATGCTTTACATCTGTCTTTCTTCATTGGCCTACAGCTCCAAATTTTCTGTATATGGTGCCTTCTACATATGTGAGATATTATTTCTTTGCTCTTTTTGTTGCCCCTAAAACCAGTTTTCTCCTGCTCCCAGTCTGCATTTCCTTAACTGAGTTATTTATAGCTGTGGGTTCTGGTAGTACCATACAAAGATAGAAGTAAAACAAATTAATCACAGAGGCCTGATCAATTAAAAAAGTTGCTGTCACTTTTTAACAAAAGTTAAGTAAAGCAAAGCTCTGCAAGCTGGTCAGCAAGCCTTCAGACAGAGAAGGCTTGTCAAACCCCAGTGCTGAGGCCCTGTAAATTCAGTACAAAGCTTATGGCCTGTTAATAGCAATGGCAAGGCTGTATTACAAGGTTACATGCTCACAGGGATTCGTGCTCTTACCTTCCATGTGCTGGTTGCATGTGTTAGTTACTGAACTATTACCTATTTAAAATAGCAGATTCCCTCTTATTTTCCTTCTCTCCTTTGCTCCCTGAGTCATTAAAAATCCTGTCCTTACCAAACTAGTAAAAACTGTTTAAGGTCACATCTTTCTCTTAAGAATTTGCAGAGTGATGCAGCTTCCATCATGAGCAAAGTGAATGTCAGGGACTGTGATGGGCTGGGGTGGGTGTGGAGCGTATTGGGCTGGCTAGAAGACCAGAAGAAGATACAAGTAGACTGGACATAGTATTTGTTGGTGTATGAGGAAACTTTCCAAAGGAATTAATAGTATTAGGAATCAGAGGTAGAGGTGTGGTGTGAACAAAGTGGTATGAAAGGAAGCTCAATTACAACTTTTTTTTTCCCTTTCCATTCGATTGTGTTATGATTACAGGGAAAAAATTAACCCTGCTATTTCCACTTGTATCAGCTACTGTCTTGCTCCCACATCCTGATTCAGGTATGCTGTTATAAATGGCTTTGCTATGACAGGCTAAACTAAGAAAATCTACTGTTTCATATACTTGTGCTGACAGGAAGCGTAAAAATATAATCTAGGTATAAACCTCAAAATGAAGGCATATTTTGCCTCAGCTTTTAATAAGAAAAACAGGCAGTTCAGCACATGAAGGCAGAGGCTGGATGCTGGATATGCAAAAGGAGTTAACCCCATTAAAGGTAGAAGCAGAACTCCAGGACATTCTCCTTAATGCTCTTAGTGTGTTTTAAGACTACAGTGTCTATAATACTACAATATTATTAGTTCAGCATATTTTTGAGATATTGGTGTTTTTATAGATGGGAAAGTCCATCTCTGTACAGACTAGGAATTTAAACAAAGCTATATAATCAGTCCACACCAGAAAAAGGAACAGATCCTGGATCTTTGAGGTCTGTATTTTAATTCTAGCTAAGGCATGTTCTACAAACAAAATATTGTGGAAAGTAAAAAAAAAAAAAAAAAAAGGTAAATAAAAAGTACCCTTTATTTTGTTGGAATTCATATATGCTTTTCTAAGACCGCTGTAGAAATTTCTTAAGCTTCTTGTTCTTCAGCAACACAAGCAGCAAAATACATGAATCATGTTGCTGAACTGTGCTAATTTGGGATTTTTCTGTTAGTCTTGTCTCTTAAATTTAGCAGGCTAAAATGCTCCAACAGTATTGGCAAAGTTCTTGACTATCAGGCAATCACTGCTTCTGAACTTTCAGGACAGCTTTGCATTAATTAAAACAAGGATGATGGTGACAGCACAAGCTGAGACACGTATTAGGTCTGGAATAGACACCGCTTTCAATCACTTTAAAAATCTAAGATTCTGTAATAATAAAGACGTTTAACTGTCTGAAAGCCTTCAGCTGCAAGTTTAAATGATACCTCTAATGGAGTTCAAGGCTTTTAAATCCTCTTAAGGATTAAGATACAGGCTTAAGGTGGAGTACTTTGGGCAAGAAAGTCTTTGTTTCCACTTTCTAATCATGACTGACAGTTCAACCCTGGAGTATTAATGGTGTCTGTCTATGTATTTTTTCATTGTGTTTGATACTTTTAAGTTCTAAACCGCTTTGATTTGAAGAAGATCTAATTGAAAGCCCAAAATAAAATATTGCAAGATAAGATGGTGGATAACAGCGATATGGAGGGAATGTATATGACAAGGATAGATTAGGAGAGAAGATGCAGTGATTGGGGATAGCCAGTAGAAGAACTCAGTTTGCTACTGACTGATTTAAAATTGGGGCCAACGATACTGACATTTATATTTGGGACTAAGTAAAAGGGAGGATATTTTCAAACAAGCTGTAGAAAACATGAGTAAAGTCAGAGAGTGTTAAGAAGCTGAAAATGAATGTGGCTGTTCTGTTGAAATGAAGGGAGGAATTCAGCATCGTTGTGAAGTAGAAAGCAGTGAAACTGGGCAATAATATGGCCATATGAGCACGTAAGGGGGGTAGATGGTAACCCCAAGACTTGAGTCTGAAATGAAGGAGAGAAAGAAGGTGCTGTCAGCAGCCAGTGGAGAAGAGGAAAGAAATGCAGCAACATAGAATATTTTGAATTTCCAGTATAGGTAAGATTTTTTCCTTGAAGTAGTCTACAGATTATTGTATGCACTTAGAAAGGTAACTTCCTGGCTGTCACTTAATGTTTCAGTCATACCTTTATTGTAATCATCTCTAAAGATGATTAACACTTTTTTGTCTTCAGTTTCCTGTACTTAAGTAAGGAGCTATTAGCTTGGTAAATATGTCAACTTCTTGACAAAAGTAACTTTAAGGAAAAGGATTTCTTTCTTAATTCTTGTTATTTGACTAAAATTTGTATGATACTGCAAATACACAGACAGAACCCTGTATCTCTCTATCCACCAATCTATACTGTAAATGCAAATACCTTGGTTTGCCTGGGGTAGGAATCTAATATTGATGTGCGGTCTTAGATTCAGAAAATAGAAGAGAGAAATAATTAAAGATCACTTTTATTTGTTAGGGTAGCAATTGTCTTGTCATACCTATCTTTCCTAGGATATTCTGGGAAAACACTTGAAGAGAGTTGTAAAGGACTGAATCTTCCTAAGCATCCTTATAAAAGTGGATGCAACAACTATTTGCTTTGATCTGGAAGCCTGATAAATCAGAGCATTAGATAAAGAACATTTGGCTGGAATTCAGCTTTATTGATAATACTGTGCAAAGCACTTGGTACTGTCCCACACAACATCCTTGTCTCTAAAATGGAGAGATATGGATTTGATGGGTGGACCAATCAGTGGATAAGGAATTGGCTGGATGGTTGCACTCAAAGAGTTGCAGTCAATGGCTCAATGCCCGGGTGGACACCAGTGATGAGTGGTGCCCCTCAGGGGTCTGTACTGGGACCAGTATTATTTAACATCTTGGCTGAGGACATGGACAGTGGGATTGAGTGCACCCTCAGCAAGTTTGCGTGTGACACTAAGCTTAGTGATGTGGTTGATACTCTAGAGGGAAGGGATGCCATCCAGACGGACCTTGACAGGCTAGAAAGGTGGGCCTGTGCAAACCTCATTAAGTTCAACAAAGCCAAATGTAAGGTTCTGCATCTGGGACAGGGCAATCCCAAACATGGATACAGGCTGGGCAATGAGTAGCTTGAGAGCAGCCCTGTGGAGAAGGAATTGGGGGTACTGATGGATGAAAAACTGAGTATGAGTCGGTAATGTGTGGTTGCAGCCCAGAAAGCCAATCGCATCCTGGTCTGCATGAAAAGAAGCGTGGCCAGCAGATCAAGGGAGGTGATTTTTCCCCTCTACTCCACTCTCATGAGACCCCACCTGGAGTACTGTGTCCATCTCTGGGGTCCCCAGCATAAGACAGACATGGACCTGCTCGAGTGAGTACAGAGGAGGGCCACAAAGATAATCAGGGGGCAGGAGCACCTCCCCTATGAGGACAGGCTGAGATAGTTGGGGTTGTTCAGCCTGGAGAAGAGAAGGCTCCAGGGAGACCTTATAGCAGCCTTCCAGTACTTAAAGGGGGCCTACAGGAAAGATGGGGAGGGACTCTTCTGTCGGGGAGTGTAGTGATAGTGTAGTGTAGTGAGGGGTAACGGTTTTAAACTGAAAGAGGGTAGATTTAGGTTAGATATTAGGAAGAAATTCTTTACTGTGAGGGTGGTGAGACACTGGGACAGGTTGCCCAGAGAAGTTGTGGATGCCCCCTGCCTGAAAGTGTTCAGGGCCAGGTTGGATGAGGCTTTGAGCAACCTGATCTAGCGGAAGGTGTCCCTGCCCATGGCAGGGGGGTTAGAACTAGATGATCTTTAAGGTCTCTTCCAACCCAAACCATTCTACAATTCGATTCTATGATTCACTGGCATGATGAGATCTATGAAAACATATGCAATTGCAACAGACAAGTGATCTGTTCAGGCATGTTTAGTTTTAAGTTCACTTAGAT